CTTCGCCTGTTTGTTGTCACGCCGTGGGACACCCGCAGAGCGGTCCGGCTCGAACACTGACGCAGAAAGAGGGTGCCTTTTTTCTTCCACAGCAGCACGATGACAAGCTCGGCGACGCACTCGTGAAGCCATTGAGCTACCAAAAGTGCCGTGCGCAACGCCACTCGCACGCAGCCTCACACAGCCTGCCAGGCCCGATACAAAAACCCTGGTCACTCACAAGAATCGTGCCCGGAGCACTAGTCACCATCTTTCCACGAAACGCAGAAAGATGGTGTCTAGGGCCAAGGGCATGACTCTGTACGATGTTGCATTTTTCGCCACGCGGGATTTGGGGGAAGGCCCCCTCCTCCTCCACCTCATTTTCCTCCTCCTCCCCCTCCTCCTCCTTCTCCTCCTCCTTCTCCTCCTCCTCCTCCACCTCCTCCTCCATTCCTTTTGCTTATGAATGATTTCTCCCTGTCGCACCCCGAGGCCAGTTTTAGGGCGGGCTGGGCGTTTCGCCTGAGCCTTCCTCACAACTTATGACCCTGAAGCTTAAACGTTGGCATCAGCTTCACAAATGGAGGGCGGGCCGTTTTCAAAATGTGGTTCTCGCCTTAGCGCCGCGCACGTTCGTTTCAAACCAGAGCTTCACGGTTTCAGGGCGGGTCGTTTTCAAAATGTGGCTCTCGCCTTAGCGCCTCGCACATTCGTTTTGCACATTTGCATGAGTTTTACGGATTGAGGGCGGGTCGTGTTCATAATGTGGCTCTCGCCTTAGCGCCGCGCACATTCGCTTTAAACATTGGCAGGAGCTTCATGGATTGAGGACGGATCGTAATCAAAATGTGGCTCTCGCCTTAGTGCCGCGCACGTTCCTTTGGAACATTTGTAAGAGCTTCACAGATAGCGGGCGGTTCCGTTTCAAAACGTGGCTCTCGCCTCAGCGCCGCGCACATTTGTCCTACATATTTGCAACAGTTTCGCGGATTCCCATGATCAACGTACCAGACATGGCGTTTTCGGAAGATTCAGGATTTGAGGGCGCAACACACGTTGATTCGCGGTGTTGAAGTCCCAGGAATGGCGTTCTGACACAATTCAGGATCGTTAAGACTAACGACACAACAGTCAGGTTGATCCGTGGCGCTGGAATCCCGAGAACAATGCTTTCGCATGCTTCAGGGTCTTCGAACGGTTGTCTTCCAACGAGGCAGTTCCCTCAGTGGAAATGAACCGTTGTAGGGGCCTGTGGCGAGGGAGTTTGGAGGGAGGGTCTACTCCAACATCGTTGATGACTCTTGGGTTTACACTGGTCCTCCGCCTCCTCCCGCCTCTCGCCTCCTCCTCCCGCCGCCTCCCGCCTCCTCCCCCCGCCTCCTCCTCCTCCTCCCGCCTCCTCCTCCTCCTGCCGCCTCCTCCTCCTCCTCCCGCCTCCTCCTCCTCCTCCCGCCTCCCGCCTCCGCCTCCCGCCTCCTCCTCCTCCTCCTCCTCCTCCTCCTCCTCCTCCCGCCTCCTCCTCCTCCTCCCCCCCCTCCCCCTCCCCGGTGCCCACCTCCCCGACGTAGATGAAGAGGACGGCGAGCGGCTGGGCCATGGTGAGCACCGTGGCCAGCAGCACCAGCCAGACGGGGCCCCACTTCTGCCAGTGGCCGCCCGCCTTCGGCCGGGGGGCGACCTTCGGAGAGGCCGCCCACAGCAGGGCCCCCTGAGAGCCGACGCTCCAGCAAGCGTTGGCGCAGGCGGCCTTTGCCCGCTTCCGGCCCGTGGGGGCCCTCGCCGGGCTTCGGGAGCGGCAAAGAACGACTCACCCTGAGATGCGACGCTCTGGAAGAAAAATCGGAGCAGGCGGCTTTTGGCCGTTTTCGGCCTCCGGGGGCCCTCGCCGGGCCTCGGGAGCGTAACAAAGACAACTCGGGACGAAAAACCGGTCCCTAGGGGAAGTGGTCCGGACCTCCGGGGTCCACGCACCCAAAAGAAGCGGAGCAGCTGGATTAGGGGGCACACAAACCTACCTCGCTTTTGACCACCCTCGCTTCCAAGAGATACCAAGCGATGCCAAACTAAGGCCTGTACTGGTCAGGTCGCTTGACGAGGAGGCGCGTGGTATGACTTGGTTTTGCCTGGAAGCGAACGCGGGGTAGGTAATTCACGCTCTGATGGATGTCTGGCCCTCAGCGGGGGCCGGGCGTCCCAAGCTTTTCGAGCGGGGCGTGTTCGCCTTTCTTGTCGGGCCCCAGGGCCCTCGCAGATCGATGCGGCTCGAAGAAGCGGCGCCGAGAGACGGTGTCTGGGGCTCCGGGCGTGATTCTTCACGACGTTGTCATTTTTCCGCTACGTCGGATCTCGGGGCACATCGAAGTCCGAGATAAGGAATCCAGGGTCGGGAAGCTGGCGGAACTTCAATCGTGGACTGGCCATGGACATCACCACCGCCCTCATCAGACAAGGAATCCTCCAGGGCCTGAAGCATCCTGGACACATTCCTCGCCGAACGCCCCACCGCAGGTTCGTGCGGCGTCGGCGCGCGCAAAGGCTTCACCCCGCGAGAATCGCTCCTCCTCGCATCGATCGCTGCCCCTATCGGCCAATGTTGCATTCCGTCGGGTCAGATGAGGAGGAGGAGGAGGAGGAGGAGGAGGAGGAGGAGGGGGAGGAGGAGCGGGAGGGAGGAGGAGGAGGAGGACGGAGGAGGAGGCGGGAGGAGGAGGAGGAGGAGGAGGGAGGCGGAGGAGGAGGAGAGGAGGAGGAGGAGAGGCGGGAGAGAGGAGAGGAGGAGGAGGAGGAGGGGCAGGAGGAGGAGGAGGAGGAGGAGGAGGAGGAGGAGGAGCTGTGGCGCTACCCGTGTCCCTCGGTGACTTCTGCGTCGCTCCACCCGGGCGGTGCTCCCGCTCGCCCCTTCGGTGCCCCAGGGGCGCAAAGGCCCACCTCGAAGGCACTCGCTGGCGCCGCCGGCGCGCCAACGCTGCACGAGCCGAACGTACAGTCGGCGCGTTGACCTAAGGAACCCTAAATAAGGAACGAGGCCCCTTTTTCCCATGAGCTGAACATCGATTTCCCCTGGAAAGCCTCAGGAGAACCTCAGGCAAACTGTTAAACAATCAAGGAACACCGAGCCCCTCCCCAACGAAAAGGGTTCCTTCTGCAGCGCCCCGACTGTACAGCAGGGGCCCGACTACACTCGGGCCGGGCGAAAGGGGGGGGATAGTAAAGGGGGGGGGTTTGAGAATCAGCTCGCGTGGCCGATTTTCCGGGCGCCTCCCGGCGCCGGAGGCGGCCATGTATCGAGGGATGGGCTCCTGGGTGAGGCCGAACCCAGCTGCGTGCACCAAATTTCGTAACCTCCCCTTTCCCAATCCCCCCCTTTCGTCCGGCCCGACACAAGAAACCTTCCACAAGAACCCTAACCCTGAGTCCCCAGGATCTCCATTGACTTGTGGTGTGGGAACGTCAGGCTCTCCATAGCAGCACCAGCGAAGCCCAAGAAGCCCAGGGCACCCTGGAGGCGAGCAGGGTGTTTCTTGCCATGGGTCTCCACTGTACGCTCCACTCACTGTGCGCATTCGAACATGGAGTCCGTGTGCACCCATCAGCAATTTTCGGCGACCCCTTCGGCGGTCTTCTAACCGTCTTCGGCGGTCGGCGGCTTCCGGCCCGGCAGTCTTCTCATGGTTCTGTAGGCGGTCTTTGGTAGTCCTCGGCGGCTTCTGGCAGTCTTCGGCGCGAATGCGGGAGGGCTGCTTTCAACAAGGGGTCCATGATCAAACACCGAAGGGTCGGAGGAGAGGGCCGTGTCGCCGCGATGCGTCGGCGACGTCGGCGTGGAGAAAACTGGACTCCACATCGAACCGCATCGCCGATGCAACGGCGATGCGGCGCGATCCACCGACTCCATCTTCATCAACCCCATTTGGGCGGCCCGGAACCTTGTGGTAGCAGAACTGGACCTGCGAAACCACCGTCACAGCCACCACCCATCAAATGTCCCCCCCCCGCCCACCGCCCAAATCTCCGACGATGTGTGTGTGGTGAGTGTGTGTTGTGTGTGTGGTTGTGTGTGTGGTTGTGTGTGCGCGCGTGTTTCTGAGTCCTGGCTTTCTCCCTCGATTTCGGGCTTTAGGGCATCTTGTGGGGCCCTGGGGCTATTGCAACAGGATCTGGGGCCAAAACATACGTCCATGGAAAGAGTCGAGACCTCTTCGGACCGCGCATTGAAAGTTTATTGTCGAATACCTCGGCCCCGTCCTCCTCCTCCTCCTCCTCCTCCTCCTCCTCTTCTTACTGCTCATCTTCCTTTTCCTCCTCCTCCTCCTCCTCCTCCTCCTCATCCCTCCTCCTCCTCCTCCCCCATCCCTCCTCCTTATGGATAACTCCTCCCTGTCACGCCCCGAAACGGGCCGGCAGGGCGGGCAGGGCGTCTCGCCCGAGACTTCTTCACCGTGCCCGTCTTTCGAAGCACCTGCAACAGCTTCACGCACTCAGGGCGGGACGTTCGCAGAGTGTGGCTCTCGCCTTCGCGCCGCGCACACTCGTCTCAAAAGGTTTGAGCGAAGGCGTTTTTCACGGACGGGCGGCGGCTGGCTTTCCCAACGTGGCTCTCGCGCTGGCGCCGAGCACACTCGTCTTCAAAGTAGGGGCGGGCCGCTTTCAGAATGTGGCGCTCGCCTTAGCCCCACGCCCATTCGTCTTGAAACGTTTGCGAGAGCTTCCCGGATGGAGGGCGGGCCGTTTTTGAAAATGTGGCTCCCGCCGTAGCCTCACGCCCATGCGCCTCAGACGTTTGCAGAAGTTTCACGGATGGTGGGCGGGTGGTTCTCAAACTGTGTCTCTGGCCTTAGCGCCGCGCAAGGTCGTATTAATAGTCTGCGAGAGCTTCACGAATCGAGGGCGGTTCCTTCTAACATGTGGCTCTCGCCTTCGCGCTTCGCACATTCGTGTCCGACAGTTTACAGCAGTTTCAAACAGGTTCTTACCGCTGAGGGCCCCAAGAAATGGTTTGGTACGATTTGGGATCACCAGGACGCGACAGTCACGTTGCTTAGCGCTACTGATATCCCAGGAATGGTGCTCTGCCGCGAAGTCCCAGCATTTGTGCTTTGGGATGGACGCAGATCTTCAGACGGATGTCTTCCAACGGAGCATATCCCGTAGTGAAGAAACAAGTAGGGACCGATGAAGAGGGAACTTAGAGGAAAGGATGATTGCTACATCATGGCTGAGTCTTGGGTTTGCACTGGTCCGCCTCCTCCTCCACCTCCTCCTCCTCGTAACCCTGCTCCTAATACTCCTGTATTGCGCACTCACATTCAGTGTCTATTGTCTAGCCGCGTCCTCCTCCTCATCCTTCCCTTTCTTTTCCTCCTCCTTCTTTTCCTCCTCCCTCCCGTCCTCCTCCCCCTCCTTCTCCTCCTCCTCCTCCGCCTCCTCCTCCTCCTCAGCATCATCGTCATCAACACCACCAGCATCGTCGTCATCATCATCATCATCATCATCATCATCATCATCATCATCATCATCATCGTCATCGTCATCATCATCATCATCATCATCATCATCATCATCATCATCATCATCATCATCATCATCATCATCATCATCACCATCGCCATCACCATCACCATCACCATTACCATCACCATCACCATCACCACCAACACCACCACCACCATCATCATCATCATCACCATCACCATCATCATCGTCATCATCATTACCATCACCATCACAATCACCATCACCACCACCATCACCATCACCACCACCATCACCATTTGCCATCACTATCATCATCAGCATCAGCATCAACATCATACTCATCGTCAACATCAACATCATACTCATAAACATCACCGTCATCACCATTATCAGCATCATCATCATCATCATCATCATCATCATCATCATCATCATCATCATCATCATCATCATTACCGTCATCATCAACATCATCAGCAGCATCAGCATCAGCATCAGCATCATCGTCATCAACACCACCGCCATCAGCATCATCATCAGCAGCATCATCTCCATTATCGTGAGCATCGCCATCATCACTTCCACCACCACCACCATCATCAACATCAGCATCAACAACACAATCATCATCAGCAGCAGCATCATCATCGTCGTCATCACCACTTCCACCACCAACATCATCATCAACATCATCATCAGCAACATCATCATCCGCAGCATTATCATCATCCTCATCACCATCATCAACAACCTCATCATCATCACTGCCAGCATCATTGCCGTCAACCTCCGGATCATCACCACTTCCACCACCATCATTGCCATCATCATCACCATCATCATCATCCTCATCACCATCAGCATTATCATCATCTTCATCATCATCATCATCAGCATCATCATCATCATCATCATCATCATCATCATCATCATCATCATCATCGTCGTCATGACCATCATCAACATCATCATCAGCAGCATCGGCACCATCATCATTATCATCATCCCCATCATCACCATCATCAGCAGCATCATCATCGATTATCATCCTTCCTCCTCCTCCTCCTCCTGCTCCTCCGTCATCCCTCCCTCCCCCCCCCCTCCCTCCCTTCGAGGAAGAGGGGAGGAGGGGCGAGAGGATAGGCATGGAGCAGGCGGGGCCTGGCAGAAGCGGGCTCTGGACCCACGCGGGCCCTCTGCTCGCTGTCGGGCCCCGGGGGGCCCAGGGGAGGGCCCAGGGGAGCCCGAATACGACCAGCAGCCTGCGGGGCCCGTTTCCCTCGGGGCCCTAGTGGTTCATGGGGCGACGGAGGAGGAGGAGGCGACGGAGGAGGAGGAGCGACGAAGGAGGAGGGGCGACGGAGGAGGGGCGACGGACGACGACGACGACGACGACGACGACGACGACGACGACGACGACGACGACGACGACGACGACGACGACGACGACGACGACGGCGACGCCTAGGAGGACGGGAGGAGCGCGGGATCGATGGTCGCGATCGACGGTTTCCCGCGGACCATGTTGGTCAGAATCACCTGGGCGGCGCGCAAGGGGGCGCTGGGTCTAGCGGGGCCGCCTCCCAATGAGGCAGCGAACTCTTCATCGTCCTCCTATTCTTCCTCATCCTTCTTCTCCTCCTCCTTCCCCCCTCTCCTCTTCCTCCCCCTCCTCCTCTCCCTCCTCCTCCCCCCTCCTCCCCACTCCTCCTTCCTCTCCTCCTCCTCCTCCTCCTCCACCCCCCTCCTCCTCCAACTCCTCCTCCTCCTCTTCCTCCCCCTCCTCCTCCTCCTCCTCCTCCTCCTCCTCCTCCTCCTCCTCCTCCTCCTCATCCTCCCTCCTCCTCTTCCTCCTCCTCCTCCTCCTCCTCCTCCTCCTCCCTCCTTTTCCTCCTCCTCCTCCTCCTCCTCCTCCTCCTCCTCCTCCTCCCCTTTTCCTTGTACAGTGAAGAACTCCTCCTTGTCGCACTCCGAGGCCAGTCGAAAGGGCGGGCCAGGCGTTCTGCCTGAGACTTCCGCACACCGTATGACCCTGAAGCATCAAACTTGGGCAACAGTTTCACACATTGAGGGCGGGTGGTTTGGGAAACCTTGAGATCCGGCGCTCCAACAAAATTGGAGCAGGCGGTTTCTGGCCGTTTTCGGCCTCCGGGGGGCCCTCGCGGGGCCTCGGGAGCGTCAAAAAACAATTCAGAACGAAAAACTGGCCCTAGGGAAGTGGTCCGGACCCCCCTGGGGCCCACGCATCGAAAAAATGGGAGCAGCCAGACATCTGGGAATGTGGCTCTCGCCTTGGCGCCGCGCACATTCGTCTCCAACAATCGCAAGAGTTTCACGGATTGAGGGCGGGCGGCTTTCAACATGTGGTTCTCGCCTTAGCGCCGCGCAGATTCGTCTCAAACAATTGCCAGGGTTTCACGGACTGAAGGCGGTTCGTTTCAAAATGGGGCTCTGGCCGTAGCGCCGCGCACATTCGTCTCACATTACCCTGCGACGTACCCAACCCATCGGCACCAAGGGGTGATACAAGGTGTGCCGACACGAGTGTGACAGTAACACTGCAAGAGACAATGCACCGCGGATATCTACATCGTGCGAAGACTGCGTGGCCGACTCGAAAATGGCGACGATTTCACGCCTTGCCCCCCCCCCCCCCTGGCAGCCCTCAAAAGTGGCGAAAATTTCACACTTCGCAACCCCCCCCCCCTCCTCAGGATGGCGAGGTCCCGCTTGAATCTGCGTGGGGCCCCACTGCGCGGGCTCCCCCAGCAGCCCTCGAACGTGGCGACAGTTTCACACCTCGTACCCCCCCCTCCTCAGGATGGCGAGGTCCCGCCTGGGTCTACGTGGGGCCCCACTGTGCGGGCTCCCACAGCAGCCCTCGAAAGCGGCGACAAATTCACACCTCGCACCCCCCCTCCTCAAGATGGCGAGGTCCCGCTTGGATCGGCGTGGGGCCCCACTGTGCGGGCTCCCCCAGCAGCCCTCGATAGCGGCGACAAATTCACACCTCGCACCCCCCCTCCTCAAGATGGCGAGGTCCCGCTTGGATCGGCGTGGGGCCCCACTGTGCGGGTCCCCCAGCAGCCCTCGATAGCGGCGACAAATTCACACCTCGCACCCCCCCTCCTCAAGATGGCGAGGTCCCCCGTGTATTCTGGGTGGGGCCCCACTGTGCGGGCTCCCCCAACAGCCCTCGAAAGTGGCGACAACTTCACACTTCGCACCCCCCCTCCCCAGGATGGCGAGGTCCCGCGTGGGTCTGCGTGGGGCCCCACTGTGCGGGCTCCCCCAGCAGCCCTCGAAAGTGGTAACAGTTTGACACTTCGCAGCACCCCCTCCTCAGGATGGCGAGGTCCCGCCTGGATCTGCGTGGGGCCTCACTGTGCAGGCTCCCCCAGCAGCCCTCGAAAGTGGCGACAATTTCACAGCTCGCACCCCCCCTCCTCAGGATGGCGAGGTCCCGCGTGGGACCGACCCCACTGTGCGGGCTCCCCCAGCAGCCCTCGAAGGCGGCGACCATGCCACATTTCGCAGCCCACCCCAGCTATGGCGAAATCTTTGTGTGGTCTGCGCGAGGCCCCACCGCGCGGGCTCCCCCAGCAGCCCTCCGGAAGTGGCGACGGCTTCACAGCTCGCAGCCCCCCAAGGATTGCGAGGTCCCGCTTGGGTCTGCGTGGGGCCCCACTGTGCGGGCTCCCTCGGACGTGGCGGCAGTTTCACAGCTCGCAGCCCCCCCAGGGACGGGCGATGTCTTTCTTGAGCCTGCGTGGGGCCCCACCGTGCGAGCTCCCCCAGCAGCCCTCGACACCTCCCTGACTCTGGATCCGCCCTGCTTTGGGGAAACTCGTAAGTAGGGCTTGGAATTTCCGCCTTACTTTTCAAACCCCGCTGATGCCAATTTCCGCCCTACTTTTCTGTTGCTGTTTCCGCCCTACTTCTGTGGATTTCCGCCCTACTTTATGTTGGGTGCAGAAATGTCCGCCCTCCTTTTTCGGCTTCTTATAGGTGGATTTCCGACGCAATCTCAGATTGGAAAAAAGCCAAAGTAGGGCGGATCTGGAGTCAGGGCTGGGAACGTTTCACACTTCGCAGCCACCCCAGGGATGGCGAGGTCCCCTTTGGGTCCGCGTGGGGCCCCACCGCGCGGGCTCCTTCCGGCAGGCAGGCGCAGGCAGGCGAAAAGGCAGGCGAGAGAGGGGGGGGGGGCAGCGGGCGGACGAGAGGAGGAGAAGAAGGGCCTTGGCGACCCAAGCAGGAGGAAGAGGAGGAGGAGGAGAAGGAGGAGGAGGAGGGGGAGGAGGAGGAGGAGGAGGAGGAGGAGGAGGAGGAGGAGACTGCTGTATTCAAGACGAGAGCCCCACCAAGGCAGGGTTGGGGAACGATGCAGGAGCCTCACGGATCGGATTGAGGGCGGTTCGGTCTACAGTGTGGCTCTCGCCCTGGCGCCGCGCCCAGCCGCTTGTAGACTCATGCAAGAGTGCTGCGGGTTCCCATGGCCCGCGTACCAGAGATGGTGTCTCGGAAGGACTCCGAATTGTGA